CAGAGAGAAAGAGACACAGGCGCCATTTAAAAGAGGATGGAGTTAGGGAGTGTGGGGAAAAGAAAGGAGGAGCCTAGGGATCGGGCTGAAGGGGTTAGGGCCGGAGGTGGGAGCCATGCTGGGTTGCTTCAGGGTGTGGGGGGAGTGTTAGGCAGTCTGGGGCATCTCAGGGAGTGTTGGGGCAGTGTTAGCCCCTCTGGGAGTGGTGAGGCCATATTAGTCCCTTTGGGTCACCTCAGGGGGAATTAAGTCAGTGTTAGCCCCTGTGGGTCATCTCAAAGGGTGTTGGGACAGTGTTAGCCCCTCTGGGTACTCTCAAGGGGTGTTGAGGCAGTGTTAGCCCTTCTGGGTCACCTCAGGGAGTGTTGGGGCAGTGTTAGCCATTCTGGGTCACCTCAGGGGTGTTGGGGCAATGTTAGACCCTTTGGGTCACCTCACAGTGGTGTTGGGTCATTGTTAGCCCCTCTGGATCACCTCAGAGGGTGTTGGGGCAGTGTTAGCCCCTCTGGGTCATCTCACAGAGTGTTGGGGCAGTATTCGCCCTCCTGGCTCATTTCACAGTGGTGTTGGGTCATTGTTAGCCCCTCTGGATCACCTCAGAGGGTGTTGGGGCAGTGTTAGCCCCTCTGGGTCATCTCACAGAGTGTTGGGGCAGTATTCGCCCTCCTGGCTCATTTCACAGTGGTGTTGGGTCATTGTTAGCCCCTCTGGATCACCTCAGAGGGTGTTGGGGCAGTGTTAGCCAGCCTCTCTGGGTACTCTCAGGGGGAGTTAAGTCAGTGTTAGACCCTCTGGATCATCATGGGGAGTTAAATCAGTGTTAGCCCCTCTGGGTCACATCATGGGGAGTTAAGTCAGTGTTAGCCTCTCTGGGTCCTCTCAGGGAGTGTTGGGGCAGTGTTAGCCCCACTGGGTCACCTCACAGAGTGTTGGGTCATTGTTAGCCCCTCTGGGTGAGCTCACAGGGAGTTAAGTCAGTGTTAGCCCTCTTGGGTCACTTAACAGTGGTGTTGGGTCATTCTTAGCTCCTCTGGGTCACCTCACAGAGTGTTGGGGCAGTGTTTGCTCCTCTGTGTCATCTCAGGGGGAGTTAAGTCAGTATTAGTCCCTCTGGGTCACCTCATAGTGGTGTTGGGTCAATGTTAACCATCCTGGGTCACCTCACAGTGGTGTGGAGTCAATGTTAGCCTCTCTGGGTTACCCCACAGAGTGTTGGGTCAGTCTTAGCCCCTCTGGGTCACCTCATGAGGTGTTGGGTCAGTGTTAACCCTTCTAGGTCACTTTAGAGGGAGTTAGGTCAGTGTTAGCCACTCTGGGTCATCCCACAGAGTGTTGGGGCAGTGTTAGCCACTCTGGGTCACCTCACAGTGGTGTGGGGATGTTGTTGACCACTCTGGGGCAGCTCAGGGTGTGTTGGGCCATTCTTAGCCACTCTGGGTCTCCTCAGAGGGTGCTGGGACAGTGTTGCCCCTCTGGGTCCCCTCAGGGGGTGTTTGAGGGGTTGTTGCTCCTTTCTCACCTCGGTGTCTCCCTTTCCTTGCAGGCTCCAGCAGAAGGCGAGGCAAAGGAGGAGGTAGGAGCTGCTTATGGTCATCATTCATCCAGGAATTCCCACATAAATTAGGGAGCTCATGTCCCTCAGAAGGAGAGTTCAGCCCCTGGGGGTGATTTTGGCATGCAGAGGTCACACACCTGAGGTGCGTGGTGGTCCTGGCTGCTGCCAGCAGGTCTGGTCAGAGACCTCCAGTTCCAGTGGGAATGTGGCTGAAGGACCATCAGATCCAATGGGAACATGTGCCTTTAGCCTCACAGGTAACAGAGCCTTCATGGCACAGCTCCTGGCAGTGAGGAGACTTCATCCCTTAGCACCTCAGCAGGGTGAGAGGAGCAGCAGACAACGAACTTCTGGGAGGGCATAGACTATGCTGAGCTGGACACACAAGGATCACAGAATCCCAGGATGGGTTGGGCTGGAAGGGACCTTGATAATCCAGTGCCACCCCTGCCCTGGGCCTGGGACACCTTCCCCTTCCCAGGGTGCTCCAAGTCCCATCCAACCTGGCCTGGAACACTCCCAGGGATGGGGAGTAATCAAGTCAACTTCTAGATCATGACCCTAATGCCCAGAATTTCAGAAATCCCAGGATTTCAGGGGACTGTGCTGTTACGTGTGGCAGCTGTGAGGAATCTCTGCTCTGGATTCAGTGCCACCTCTTTCTTTCCACAGCCAAAGAGAAGGTCCGCCAGGCTATCCGCTGTGAGTACCTCCATTTGCTCCTTCATTCCACATCCCATGGGATGGGCACAGTTAGGCACAAACTACTGGGGGTTTTCCACCAGAATTGGAGTGTTCAAAATTCCCATTCCGTCTTTGCAGCCCTCGAGTTCCCAGGCTCACATTGACACACTACAGGCTCATGTCTCACACGAGCTGCAACATCTGTGTTAGTGCACATCCAGCCTGGATTATTCAGGGGTATCCAGAGGCAAGGAATATGCATTCCAGGATGGGTTTGTTCCCTGTAGATGTTCTCCACACAAACCCAGAGCTCACAGCTCTGTAAATCACCTGCTCTGTCCTCAGCCTGATGATTTCCACATTGGTTTCTGCAGGTCCAGCTATTGGGTAAACTGACTTGGAGGTGTAAATTACCTCTTGTGCTGGAATTGGGCCCCAAATCAGCCTCAAACAGGCTCTTGGTGTCCTTTCCTCACTGCGCACAGCCATTTTTAACCCCTTTTGGAAGTGCCAAGTGGATAAATTTGGTGTTTAAAGAGAAAAATCCTTAATTTGGGGTAAAGCTGAGCCAAGTGTTCACACACTGAGCTGTGTCCAAAGGGCAGTGCCTCCCTTTGGAGCTATTTTTGGCCACATGGTGCCTCCCCATTAGACACAACATCCAGACATGGCAAAAACCCACCCAGATATTTCTTATCTAAGTAGAAATGTTGATTTCCAGTGTGGCCTGATGGTGTTTGTTGTGTTCTGTGCAGAAACCTGCTCCACCCAAACCGGAGCCAAAGCCCAAAAAGGCAGCACCGAAGGTGAGTGCATGTCCCTTCTGGAGGTGTTTGTGAGGGTGGAAAAACCCCAGAACTAACCACTTTGGGTTTTCAGGATTATCCTTAAAGGTTTTGGCTGGAATAATGGGAGTCAAAAGAGACAGTTTTGCCCAGTTCCTAGGGAAGGAATGTGGCAGACTGAGTATATTTCCACTCCTTGTGGTGAGGCTTCACTGCTGCTTTGCAGGGCCATTCTGGAGTCTCACACTCTGCATTGTTGGGGAAATGAGGCTGGAATAGAGATCTGAGGCTCAATTAGGGAAGGCATTGCAAATCATGCTTTTAATTACACTTCCTTGCTGTATTCCCACTCCAAGGCACTCTCTGCACAGAGTTATCAGCTTATCACACTTGAATCCCTCAAACTGCCACAGATTCCTTCCCCCAGGCTGGATCTTCTTGGGGATGTCCAAACTATTGCCATGTCTGACAGAATGGTTAAAAAAGAAACTATTTAAAGCTCTTTCTGGCTTTGGAGCAACAGTTGGAAATACAGAGGAGGAGTTCTGCCATCCATGAGGGATTTCTTTCCCTCCCCTTTCCAGGAGTCACTTCCAGAGCTTTTTTTTTGGCTTTTCCTGTAAATTTTGCAGGGCCCCCCCCAAAAAAAAACAAACCAGAAAACAACCAAACAAACACCTCAGCAACAAAACTTTAGTGATTCTTTCTAACCTTTTCCCATCGCACGTTTTCCTTGTGGGTTTGGATGATCGTGTGGGCAAAGCCAAGAGATGTTTTGGTGGTAGAAGGGGTTGGAAACCAGGAGCTCCATCCTTTTCCATTTAAAAGGATGCAGACTTGCAGGTGATGGGAATTCTTTCCCTCCAAGTCCTGCTCTGTGGATTAGCAGCAATGCCATAAGATGTGGGAAAAGGGGAAGAATCCCACTGGTGTTGGGAACTCACATCTCAGTGCTGCAGGCTCAGTGCTGTGGACAGCAAGGTTTCCACACTGCATCCTGGTGGAGTTCCAGAGCCATCCCAGGTTCATCCCACCCTGCATTCCTGGGCAGGATGGACACTCTGGATTGCACTTCTGACATCCTAGCTCAGCTCCTGCTGGTGGCACACAGAGGGCAGGGCAGGTGTGTGTGATCCATGTTGGAATCTGCTTGTTTTTCCAAGGTTTCGCCTATTTTTATGGAAACATCGGGGTTAAAGCTGTGCTAACTTAATCCTAAATGTGGGCACAAGGATGCAGGAAGGAAGGGACTGTCAGAGCTCAGTTTGGGCCCTCACTGCACAGTGTGTGTTGTCCCTCTGGCACCATACCGGGATGGGAGCAGTGCCTTGGGAATTCCAGCTGGACTTGGAAAGCTTCTGAGGTGCTGTTTGAAGCCAGGACACTTGAGCTGTGGTGTTGGCTCTCTAGAGCATCAATACCTATTCAGAGTGAGATGGAATAGGAGTTGTGGAGGTTCTTTGCATTCTCATCTCCCCCAAATGCTTAACTTGACAACCTGCAGGTTCTTGGAATGTTGCTGTGTGTGTCAGGATGGATTTCACCTGCTAAACTTTGCCATGTTGGAAAACATGGAGCTGGGCAAGGAGTTCTGTCCCTTAAAACACATGCAGTGGTATTTCCATCTCTGTAGTGAAACCCCTGAGGAAAAGGAGTGCAGTGCTGCAGCTCAGGACCTGCTGTGTCCACTCAGTCCAGCCATGGAAGACACTTCCCATGGATTCTCCTCAGATGCTTCCTGAGCAGGAGCTTTACCAGCACTGTGAGCTGCAGAGAGTTAGTTTGGGCTCTGGTAGTGCTTTGTTGTCTATTTTAATGGTGTAAGGGAAAAGAATCTTCTTTATGGCTCACTTGGAGGGACAAGGGATTGAGTCCTGTGCCTGGGAGCTGGAGGAGCCCTCCACAGTAGGCTGAGAGCAACTCTGTGTCCCACTGGGATTGCAATTCCCAATCCCACTCCAAACAGCACCAGAGTACTTGGATGCTGCTGTTACTGTGGTGTGATCTGTTTTTTGCCTCCCTTGAGAGCCGACAGAGGGGAAGAGAGTGGAGGAAACCTCTCTGCTCTTCCTCCTCTTGGAAGGAGCCACTCTGCATCCCTGATGAGCCTTCCCAGAGGCTTGTTGGGTGCAAAAGGGAATTCCTGGCACCACACTGTGGTGGAGTGTCCCAGGTGGGCTGAAATCCCTCAGCCTGGGGAGTGGGAGGGGGAGAGGAAAGGGACTCTGACCCATTTCAGTGCTATAACCTCCTGTCTTCAGTTTCCTGCATCAAGGAAGGATTTGCTGTTAATTGTGGTGACTTTAATCACCAGTTTCATGGAAGAATCAGGTGACTTCACCCCTTACGTTCTGAGTGTGCCCTTAGCACCTCAGTTCTAATGGGAATTAATTCTGTGCACTAATAAATGAGGGGTTGAAATAAGGAATTCAACTCTTAGTAACCTTTTTGTAACTACTTGTCCCTGAGACAAAATCTCCTGAGTAGATGTGTGCAAGTTCAGCTGTTTTCTGTGCATCTTCACTCACCTGAGAGTGAAATTTTGCAGGTTTGTGGTTGCTGTGCTGGCACTGAGTGAGTCAAGTGAGGAGCTAAGCTAGTCCAGTTATGAACAGGCAGCAAGAGGGAGATCTTTGGGAGTGAAACCACTGAGAGTTGTGGATTTGGGTTGGGATCTGACCGTCCCTATGGAAAATCAGCTCTGCAGAAGCATTAGGCTTGGGGGTTGTCTTGGTTTGTACATACCAAGCTGCACTGAAGTCATAACTGCAGAGCTCTCATCGCTATCCAAGTGATGTTGTTGAACCCCAATTTTGCTTTATTCCAGTGGGGAATATTTCTGGCAGGGAAAGGGGGGAAAGTCCTTTGTTACAGCTTTACTGCAGCTTTCTGAGGAGGCATTAACAGCACGTGTGAAGTGTTCTGGTGTTTGTACATGTCCTTTTTGTTCTGCCTTTGCAGGACTAGAGCCCAGTTCAACATTTTTTAGCTAATCTAATTGAATGCCTAGTTAAAACAGGAATTCTTTTAACCCTTCCCAGCAGCACAGTCGGGACAGGGGGGAAGGAAAACACTTCTCCTTCGAACCTGTGATCTCAGGAGGAAGTTTGGGCTGTGGAAGGAGGTTGTGCAGAGGGTTTGGAGTGGAGAACTGATGAGTGAGGTGGAAATCAGAGTTTAATGTCTCCTGTCTTCTTCACAGAAGGAAAAAGCAGCAAATGATAAAAAGGAGGACAAAAAGGCAGCAACAAAAGGGAAGAAAGGAGCCAAAGGCAAAGAAGAAACTAAACAAGAGGACGCTAAAGAAGAAAACCACTCTGAAAACGGAGATACCAAAACTAATGAGGTACTTGAGCTGCACTGACCATGGGAACACACAGCTATACTAGGAGCTCACCTTGGGGCTCCTCAGGGTGGGGGGACACTAGGGACACACCAGCTCTGGTGTCTGCAGCTACCAGGGAAGGCCTGGAGGAGCAGCCCTCTCCTTCCAGCTCCTCCTGCTGCATGCTGGAGCCTTCCCACAAGTCTCTGTGCTGTCCTGGGTGGTGCTGGAGCTCTCCACAGGTCTCTGTGCTGTCCCGGGTCCCTCTCAGGGCTGGCTCAGGAGGATGGTGGATTTTTGGGAACAATGGAGCTCAATGAGGTTGCTCTCAGCCCTGAGCTGAGTGTGCACATCCTCTCTGGGCTGCTACACTGCCGCTGCTGCTCAGCATGGGTTGGGGCTGGGCCAGAAATGTGGTTTTCAGCTTTACACAACTCCTTAAAACAATTCTTTGCCTCGGAAAAATCCAAGCAGAGATCTGCAAAGTCAACTCTGCTCAGGCTCTTGAGCTGGAGCTTTCTCACAGGTCCTCTGTGGCAGCTCCTTCCCCAGAGCTGCCTTTGCTAGGCCCAGCTGCAGCTCCAGCAGCTCCTGCTGGGATTCTCCTAGCAGATTCCTTGCTGGTAGTCAAAGCACAGGTGCTGTGTGTCCTGTGGGCACACAACAGGCCTGGTGTGTCCTCTGGCCTCACGTGGGATCAGAGTCATCACCCACTCAGCAGGTCCTAATGAGAGCAGGAGCTGCTTTGCTGAGGCAAAGGAGCCGATGTACTTCAGGGGGTGTTGGAAGGAGTTTTGCTGTGTTGGATTAAAAAAGCACATTTTATAGAGAACAGGTGAGATCTGAGTCCCCAAAGTTTGGACTCTGACACTTCCCTGTGATACACAGAGATGGGGCCTGAAATTCCCTGACAGGATTGATCCCAATCTAAACTGCAGCTAAATTCTGCCTCTCTCCAGGAATGTTTCCCTCAGTTACCTCCATCATTAGCGAGTGCTGCAGCAGTGGTTGAGTTGTGAGTGCTCTCAGCTGCCACATCACTGACACTGGTTAAACTGGGAGGCTCTGAGAGCACTGGTGAGCAGTGCCATGTGCCACTGGTGTCCGGTCACCAGTGCTGCTCCCGGGGGTCAGTGCTGGGCCCAGTTC